TGCTGAAATCGTTTCTTCTCATTTTCAAGTTACACTGAGTTCGATATTCTGAAGAGCCTGGCATTGGGCAAGGCACCAAGTGCAGTAGCGAGTTGCGGTGGGAGAAGCAAAACCACCAACTTTTTTGGTGGCGAGAAGGTCGCCCAGGAGACACAGCAATTTGACACGCACTGACCAACCCCAAGGATATTGATGTGTTTTCATGATGACACCGGAGTCAAGTGAAATGAGCTTGTCCACGATTGGTTTGAGGAGGTGTTTGATTGTGTCTTTGTCTGCGGAATAGGGTCCTGGGGTAACACCAGCCAGACAGATGTACGAGATCTTGTTTTGCAAGTTAGGAGGAAGATTCATGCAGGAGATAGCAAATACCCCCATTGATTTGTGCTTGCTACTGATCTTGTTTCCTCATGGGTTGAACCAATCCACAAATAGTGAGAGAGACAAGTTGAGAATAGTCGGATTATTATTTGAGCTTAGCCTACGGAACATTGATCCGTGTTGGATATCTCCAAACTCGTTGTTTGAATTCCTCACTTCACTCGCCCAGGTGTCAATTGCTAGTTCAATTTCAGGTTTTGCCAAAAGCCATTCAAGCCAGGCCGTGATTGGTTGAGTGACAAACTGGCATCGAAGGACCCTGAATGTTTTAGAACGGAAATCACTCTCCCTTGGAAATTGGCCAAAGTCTTTGAGCCCACGGTGAGTTGATTTTTGTATCCACAGTTCTTCGTTGCATGGTGACGAATCTTGGAAAGGTTGATATGTGCAGAGAGGTGGTGGAAGGGGAGTTACAGGATAGAGACTGAAGCAGGTCCGGCAGCATGGGGTNGTTAGTTGTCAAAAATTAGCGCTAACAGTAGCTTTATGGTAGCGTAGCTTAATAAGCTAACACTACGCTACACTAGCGCTACATGTAGCGTAGCTGGCCCACCGTTGTCTGTACGTTGTTATCCATTGAAACCTCTACCCCCACACCATCACTGAGGAGAAAAATATTGCAAGTCAGAGCATCAAAATATAAAATAGGAAAATAAAACTGACCTTTCATCATTATCACCATCTACCATGGTGTTTGAGATTTCCCTTTTGTGAGTTAAAATGTTGACAAATTTGGTCTCACATATCCAAGGGAGATATACCAATTTACCAGTTGGTCTTTTGGCATCCATGAGGTTAAAATTTGAGTAAGTCAACCTCTTGTTCCATCTGCTTGATCTCGGTCACATATTTACCTTTGTCCACTCCTGGCTGCCTAGGGGAAGAGTTTCCATTACAGCTGCCACAGTGCCCAACCACCGCGTTTGTTGGAATTAGGTAGAGAAGATTTTCCTTGAGTAGACAGTCCCATGGGGACACCCCGAAAAATCTAGAAAAGAATTGCTCAGATCTGGATCTGGACTCCAGATCGATGGGAAGACCTCCACTACGAGGACTTTCTGTTGGTCTGGAGTGCCAAATTTAGACAGTCTAAATCTAAACTGCACACTTTGTTTGGTGGTGACTGTCGTGAATCTTGATCACCAAACATAGCTTGGGCTTTAGATTTGGATAGAAGCTCCAGATTAAGGAATCTGGGCAACTGAAAGACCTCCACTCAACTTTTCCTCGTAACTTGATGCGCTCCCAATAATATAATGTCTGCCTCTCGCTCCCGCCCCAGGTTGCCCTCGTCTGAGCCTATTCCACCGCTTCTTGAAACACATCCAACTCACCTCCCCACGAGCCATTCCACCGCCGAGCTCTTCACCACTCCAGCATCCACCACCAGCTCCACTCTCCTCGCTGAATCTGCCTCCGATACTTATGTCAACGACCCCTGGTCACCCAACCTCTCATCTACCTCCTCCAACTCGGTCCATGGCTTCGAACCCAACTCTCGCTTGCAAGGAACTATCAGTGCGTCTCCCATTCTCGTCAATCAAAATTCATGACATCCATCCGAATCCTGAATCTCTCCCCCCTTCTTGAAACCAGATCTCTCAGCTTTGCCCTCCATTTACCACCAAGCTTTCAACGCCACCGATCCCTCAAATGGAACTGCTTCGATCGCAAACGTCCATCGAGTCCTGGCCAGCAGTGGCGTAGGCGCCAGTACCATAGAACAAGTTCGTATGATATCTCGTTAAATTCCTCCCCCACTTCTTACTTGTCTTGCTTTCCAAAAAATCAAATCATCCTGATCTAATCTTCTCTCTGTCTTTCCTTTAATAGATCCTCAGCGTCAGTTGTGGTCGCTCGTCCCGAGTATCCAAGCAGGAATTTAGCATTGCACTAGCCGCTGTCGCCTTTGCTCAAAAGGGGAAATCTCGTGAGTAACCTTAACTCTAAGTTTTATACGAAAAAAAAACCACGTTGATTTATTATCTCCACTTGTTTTCTTTTTTTGACGGCTGAAGCATTATGTGTACAACGGATCATCTCCAGAAAAGGATCCTTCCCACTCCCAACCTTAGATCTAGGCACCTCACTCATCAATACCACAGGGAGGTCTCAATCCCAACGATCTGCGCTCCCTGACGACCCTTGGTGTACCAGTCCCACCTCCGTCACCAAATCACGCTCCACAGAAACATCGGCCATGTCCTCCAGTTTGCCATTCTTGATTGATCAGGCCGAGCCATCCACACCACAATTATCGGAACCTCGTCTACCTAGTCGCGTTCAACCTGATCCTCAATTCTCCAATTCTCGCTTCTTACCCAACTTCAATCCTCTACAGCGTGATTCCGTATCAATCAGACTGAGCTCCCCAGAGGGTTGGCTCTTGAAACATAACGTGTATACCGTCGATCATGAACGAAAGGGCACTAGTGTTCCACGGAGATACAGCGACTTTGTTTGGCTCCACGAGTGTCTTGTGAAAAGATATCCCTTTCGACTTCTTCCCACCTTACCTCCCAAACGCTTTGCAAGTAAGCCTACTTCTGCGCAATTCTCATCTCTTACATATCATCCTTGCTCTCTTCGTCTCTCCCGTAAAATTAAACTTTGCCTTGAAATTTCGGCGCACAAATTCAATCAACTCGACCACAAAAATAAAAAAACACTTGACGCTAGTCTCTGGCCATCATCTCGTAGCAGGTGATGATTCTCAATTCCTAGAACGACGGCGTCGGGGCCTACAAAGATATTTAAACTTTTTGGTCAACCATCCTGCCATGTCGACTGACACCATCTTCGTCACCTTCCTCGGCGAACCTTCAGACCTTGCCACATGGAGATCACACTCGCGGGTACATCTGGTGGAAGAATCGGTCAGCACTCGGCTGACGCCCGCGGAAGAGATGTCGATTCCAGAGGACCTGGATAACCATTCGGCCAACTTCCGTTCTCGCTTGCCGCTGATGATCGAGCATTGGGGAAGGATCTGTAACGGACTGGAACGGATGGTGAGGAGGAACGAGGCGCAGAGTTCGGATCTGATCAAGATCCAGTTTGCGATCGGGTCTGCACTCGATAGCGGACGGGCGGCATTGAACAGTGAGCAGTCGGAATGGACTCTTCACGAGGTACAACGGGCGGAAGAGGAGACAGAATTGGTTGGACAGCACATTGGCAAATACGCCGAGATAGTTGAGAATCGCGCCGGTCGGTTGAGCTTGTCTACACAGGAGCAAATCCGAGCACACAAAGAATTGTTTACGAATTTTGTGAGTCTTTTCGAGCGTATCGATCGACTGAGCGGGGACGACGTGGACGAACGACTGAAGCCCCGAGCCGAGTTAAATACGCGCAAGATGGAGACGGCACGGGAGGAGCAAAGACCAGGCTGGTCGGAGGAAGTGGACAGGCTGAAAAATTTGATCGAACAGGACCGCGCTGGTATCGAGTTCAAACTCCGCCGGAGGGTCTTCATCCGTTGGTGTCTCTGGCAGGAGATCGTTCATACCCTCAGACTCGCTAGTCTCATCCGTTTCACCTGGAAAGAATTCGTCGACCAAGAACGCCAGTTCTCTGAACGCTCTACTCGCAATTGGATCGATTTAATCGAAGTCATTGACAGTGTTTCTATTTAATAACTGCTTTTCCCTTTAAAAAAAACAAATAAAAGTCATATATCGTTCTTTCACACATTTTCTGTTTATTTGTTGGTCTTTTAATTATTTATAATTTGTTGTTGATCTCCCATCTATCTATTTATCTTCCTTAATGCTACTCTCCTTAATAATAATAAAAAATAAAATAAAAAAGACTCATGAATGTCAGTCATAGTATCGATATGACACATTGCATGAGATGGTTCTATACATTTCCAACCGTCGCCGCTCATTTGTGTGTGATCTGAACAGATATTCATACTACACCGTGATGGGTATTTCATTTCTTTCGTTCTCTTGAACTGATGAATGATTGCGATGGATCGACTTGCTAAGGGCGGTCTAAATCCGCACAAATTTCGCTACTGAACATCGCATGGGGTTCTAGCTCATCGGTAGAGCGCTCGCTTAGCATTGCGCTGAGTCAACTGCGAGAGGTACAGGATTCGACTCCCTGGTACTCCATATGACTTTGTTTCTTTTGGCCGCCCGTGCAGGAAGTTCTTTCCTCGGGAGGTAGGCCAGCTTTTTTACAATCAGGCTTGGAATGAATCCCTTTGCCTACTGAGAATTAAGGCGCAACTCATGCTCTGAGTCTGCCCCGCGCACGATTTCTTGAAGAGGTCTCTCTGGCTATCACCACCACTCAACAGCATTCCGCAAAACTCCCTACGGCTGCCCGCTTGGTTCCTCCCCATCATTAAGCTCCATTTTCCACATCCCAAGCTTGCACAATGTCATCCTATCCCCCCTTCTTCAACTTCAACACTGAGAATCATTCCTCAGCTTGACCACAATAGAACAACCCAAGTCTTGGGTTTTAGATACATTGTGTATTAAACAAATAAATAAAAAATGGGGATTACATATATTTGAATATAGGATGATGATGATGGAAGATACGCGATCAGAGACAGGCAACCAAAAAGGATAAAAGTATAGTTTTGGAGATGATCAAAGGAGAACAAGAAGAAGAAAAGGGCAACAAGAGAAAGACGGGGGTGGTTATCGTTTCAGGCTTCTCTTTTTGTTATGATAGCCCATTCGTTTCGCGTATTCAGCCTCCTCAATCGCCGTCAGCTGATCGGCGCCAGTCCAATTAGCAGACGAGGTACGGTGCCGAAACTTTGACGTCCTTCCCCTGAATATTTCTGCAATCAAGGCCGGGAAAAAAAACTTGGTCTTAGCTACCTTTTCTTGTTGCTTTTGTTTTCGACCACTTGCACAAAAAAAAAATAAGCATTGATCGCAAGAAAAAAATATAGCGTACCATCCATTCTGGGGGGGGGAATGGTGCCTCCAAAGACATCGTCAGGATTGACTTTCCTTTGGTTAGCCAATGCTTCACGCAGAGCAGGACTTTGAGCCCAATCGGGTAACTTGGCCTCCTTCCGCTCATGTTCCGATTCGTCATCGTCCGAGTACTCCGAATCGATATCCGGGAGCTCGATATACTCATCCTCCACCACCTTCTTCTCCTCTCGCATTTTCCCCTTGGCGGGCTGAGTGCTCTTATTATTTTGAGTAGCATTATTGTGCGAGCTTTGGCTTGCATTGTGTTGGGGAGTCGCCGTGCTCTTGGGAACTCCACTGTGCTGGGACAGCTGTGAGACCGGACGAGAGGGCAGATTGGACTTGACTTGCGAGCTCTGTTTGGTGCTCGTTGAGCCACCTGCCTGCTGGCCTTTTGAGCTCGTCGCTTTGATTGCCGACCCTGGTGCCGTTTTCATCGCCGACCCTGGCGCTGTCGGAGCCGTCCTAGTAGGCAAATACGAACTTGCGGGGGCTTTTTGTGCACTTGAGGGGATCTTATTGTGAGTTTCCACTGGCTGTGGCGCTTTTGTCTTCTTAGTTTCCATGGTACGATGTGACTCATTGTCAACTTTTCTCTTCTTTGCCGCATCTCCTGCCATCGAAGCTTGCCGGCTTCCTGACTGTTCCATCAAAATAATCAAAGATTGGTCATTATTAGTATGAAAGCGCAGGCATTTTTTTGGGTAGGCGCGGATAGATAACTTACCGGTGGATGATTCGATGGGACTTTAGCCTTAAGCGCAGACCGAGCTTTCAACGCGTCTTCACGTTCCTGCTTCTTTTTCTCGACTTCTGCCATCCTTGCCTTTCTCTCATTCTCAGCCTTAGCTTTTTCTTCGGCCAGTTTCTTTTCCACCGCCAGTAATCGCCTCTCCTCCTTCAACATTGCCTTCCGGTCTCTTTCGTCCTGCTCCTATACAATTGGGGGAGAAAAAGCCAAACAGGAATAAAAAAAGAAAACGGTTGGCCCTGGTTGAATTGGTATGTCTGCGACAATTTTGTTGGCATCACAAACCTTTTTGGCAGCTGCAGCCGCCAGCTGTAAGCTCTTCAGCTCTGGTTTTTCGGGCTTTGTCTTACTTGCCGTCCAAGAGCTAGCAAGCGCCGCGCCAGCTCTGAAGACGCCCATGATACCAGTTGATGAAGGAGAGCTGGGCGTTGCCGGAGCTTTGCGGGGCGTTTTGACGACCTCCGATTGCATAGTACGAACATGATGCTTCTGCCAGACATCCAAGTAAGCTTAAAGTCAATAGGCAAAAATACAAGCAATTTGAACAAGGTAGACATTTTGACTGACCTGTTTAGGCTCCTGTCGATTCCTTGACTCTTGCTCATGATCTGAATTATTGATCAAGATCCGTTTGTCATTTGAGCTGACAATTTCCAAGGAGGCCTCTTCATGTGTATCATCATCTTCTCTCTCCGAATGGTTTCCGTGATCTTCCTCGTCTTCACTTGATAGGTTAGCCTCTTCATCTTCGTTATTAGCCGCATTTCCCTCTGAAATCTTGCTGCTGGTAACCGATTGACAATCTTCACCTTCTTCATCGTCTGTGTCGACGGTTGTTTCCGGGTTGCCATGTCCTGATTCGACGGGACGATTGATAAGGTCGCCAGCCTCGGAACGTGGGGGGCCGGATGACTTGTCCAACACTCGTGTTGGTGGTGGGGAGGTGCTACGTTCAATGTCTCCTCTTAAGAACGCCAGATGTTTACTATCTATTTTGGTAGGTGGAGGGACAGAAGAGACTTCAGGTGAGGATCGAAGACCGTTACCCAGATCAACCATGGCAAGAGGAGCTATGTGGACCTGAGTGGTCAAGGTTTTGCTTTTGGCTTCATGAGCGGCTACCATGTTGCCGACTGAACTACTGTCACTAGCCCGTTTCTTCTGATTTCCAGCCTGCGTTTCAGGTGAATGCACACTGGGGGCCTCATCTTGTACATCTTCGTCGAATTTCTTGGAGGAGGCCGAGGGCTTAATAGGAGTGACACGACTTTGAAGATTTATCGGCTCAGTCGAGGAATGGGCAACATGAATCTTGGATGAAGCCGAGAGCTCAATTGGCGCGCTGAAATCTCCGTAAAGCGTTTGCTGAAGAGTTGACATTTCGGTAGTTCTGTCTCTGTCGAGTTGATCACTAGCTACTGCATGACTAGGAGGGAGCGTTGAGCCCTTTGTTACGGGAACAACCGACGCCAATGAATTTGAGGTTGTCGGAGCCTTGGAAAAGGAGGGAGCGATGGTTTGAGTAACTAGTGAAGTACGTGGGTTCACGCTGAGGGAACCATCGGCGCTTGGGCCGGAACTAGGGTGATGGTGCACGCGTTCATGCATCGCGCTCTCTCGTTGGATCTTGGACAGCCTACTCTTGAGGTCTTCCATGCCTTTTCTTGCCGTACCACCCGTTGTTGATGGTCTAACATGCATCATGCCAGGGGTGTGAGATCGACTCATCTTGGCGTCATGAGCATCTGTGATCTGATTGAATCCAGCATCTGTAGATGTGCGCTTCAATCCAGACCGTCGCGAGTGTTGTGAATCGATTCCGGGAATGGGTTGTACTAGTGATGAGGCTGATGGGGTGTCAGAAATTAGGCTCTGGTGGATCATAGTTGATTGTAAATTCGATAATAGATTAAGGGGCTTAGAGTAATCTTCGAACGGAGAGCCAGAGATTGTACCCTTCATCCTTTCGCCCTGACTTGCTGCTCCCAAGTGAGAAATGGTTGCAGGAGTCTTGTGAGGTTTATGCTGAGTCCAGAGGGTACCGCTGGGCTTACTGGACCACTGGCTGTGTGGCGATTGAATAACAGCTGCTCGTGGGTTCCCGGGGGTAAACAGGTTGGACATCGTCGGCTCCCCGGGGGTGCGAGCTTGGTGGTCCGTTTGTTTGTCTGAGTGGGAAGAACCACTCGAAGCATGCAAATTGTTTCGGAGGCTTGACGGATTGTCTGTCAATGGGATTTCTACAACTGTATCAACATGTGAGTGTTCAGGTATGACGCTATGAGGCGCTTCCTGAAGCAATGGTTGCTGCGCGTTTTGACCAAATTCTTGTTTAATCCTAGGTGTAGCTGTGGAGATAGTTGTGGCCGCGGTGACACTGGAAGTTGGTTCAATTATCCCCAAGTTACCTCCTTGGTCTTGATTGGAAGTTAAGGTTAGAGGTGTGGTTTGTTTAGGCGAACTGATAGCGGGATGTTCGGGCGTGAGAGGCCTGTTCACTATGGCTGAAGACTCATGGGAGACTTGAGAGGAGACAGTAGAATTGAAGGGAAGCGAATCCGACGTGGCAGGAATTGTACGACTACCTGATGTTTGCACGTCGATAGCATTGAGGGCTGGTCCTTGAACCCTGTTCCCAGGTAGCTTGTTTACCAAAGGCACTTCATCGGACACTAAGGCCCGGAGGTGAATGGAGTCTGGATCAGAGCTACGTGCATCAACCGCGTTTCGATGCGCGTCAATCGAGTTTCTATCAGCGTCAACCGGGTTTCCACTGACATCAACCGAGTTTCCGCTCGCGTCGACTGAGTTTGTTTCTGGGGCAGACGACGAATCTGATGCCAAAGCTGTTTGATGAGACTCGTCGACACGAGCCTCGTGGTTCTTGGTATTAGTTGAAGTATGCTCGAGATGAGGAGAATGGGGTTTGGGCGGTGGAGGGCTAGATTGACATTTTGGGAAACGTGGCGAAGCTTTGGATTGGGATGGCGAAGTAGGAGGCTTGTCTACACGTGTTGTATTGGAAGTTGTCTCGACGTTTTGAGGATGTGACGCTTGTTTCACTGGTGACAGAACTTCTGAAACGGATTTGTTCAAGACCAGAGATTTGGGTAGCGGTGGTTGTGGTTCGGCAGGATGATGATCTTCCTCTTCTTCCCCTTCTTGAATGGCTGACAATTCATGCCCAGCAGCAGCAAACGCGTCATTGGGATCAGTTTGCGACTCGTGACTCGGTTCACCTTGTTCGTGTTCCGATTCCTCATGAGAGAATGGTCCAAGTGACTTAATGACGGGTTCGAAAAGGTGAGCTTTGGGGTTCGACAAAGAGGGCAGCGAGAATATATTTTCATTTGTGATTGTGATTGGTCCGGAAAGACTTGAGGTTGAATTGACTTTGTGAGATAGGAGCGATTCGACCGCG